GCCTCAGCCCGACCTGAGCTTGTCCCCCAGTTCCGCTGCTGTGGTGTCTCCAACTACACCGACTGGTTTGAGGTGTACAACGCCACGCGGGTGCCTGACTCCTGCTGCCTGGAGTTCAGCGAGAGCTGCGGGCTGCACGCACCTGGCACCTGGTGGAAGGCGGTGAGACCCCCACCCTGGGGGCTGGCGGGGGCCTAGAGGGTGGGACCGGCAGGCCCTTCCGTGACATGCAGGGCATGCCTCCTGCAGCCGTGCTACGAGACGGTGAAGGTGTGGCTCCAGGAGAACCTGCTGGCTGTGGGCATCTTTGGGCTGTGCACGGCACTGGTGCAGGTATGGCCTGGGGACTGCAGACTCCCTGCTACCCCTTTGCTGGGGCCTTCTGAGCCCAGGGAACAAAGTAGCAAAGGCCTTGCCCCCAGGAACCCATGATCGGGGAGGCTGGGGCAAAAGCAGGAGGGTGAGTTCGGGGGGATGGGCAGGGACGGCCTGTGGGGACGGTGGACTCCCTCCTAGTGGACAGAGGCAGAGGCTGGTGTGGGGTGGAAGCCGGCAGCTGTCCGTGCTGGTTGGTGGCCCAGGACTGACCAGTGTGCAGAGAGTGGCAGCTCAGGTCCTGGTGCCTGTGGCCCCTGCTCTCCAAACTCCACAGCCCCCAGGAAGTCCTGGGTGTCCTCATGCTTGCAAGGCTCAGGGGAGGGTGCTATGGCTTGAGCCGCAGGGGTTGGATGGGGTGTGTGAGCCAGCAGGAAGCTGAAGGGCTCTGCGCTGTGTCCCTGCCCCGGGGTCAGGGCCAGGGCCAGGGCACCTGCTGAGGACAGGGACCGCTCTGGGCTTGAGGCCTGAGGCCATGGAGCTGCTATGCCCAGCCCTCCTCCCCTCCCCACAGATCCTAGGCCTGACCTTCGCCATGACCATGTACTGCCAGGTGGTCAAGGCAGACACCTACTGCGCATAGGCTGCCCGCTTCTCTGCCAAAAGGACGCCCACAGGGAGATGGCCGTGCCCACAGCTGCCTTTCCCACCACCAGCCTCGGTGCTCTGCCCCATGCTGGGAGGAGGGAGGGAGGAACAGGTGCCCGGAGGCCCTGGAACCCTGTTTCTAGAAGGCCCTGGCTCAGGTGGCTTCAGGGCCTCCAAACCCCCCCCGGGAGGGGTGGCCACGTGCTGGCTATGGAACCCAGGGCAGGGGTGGGAGGGGTCTCCAGCACTTTTTATATTTACATATTCTCCAAAGCAGTGTTCACACAGGTGCCAGCCTGTGGCCCAGCCTCCCGGGAAGCGGGTTGGGGCTGCAGGAACAGCGGCTTGGCATCCTGGAAGTGGCCCCACTGGTCCTGGTGCTCCAGGCAGGGCCATGGACCCCTTACCTACATTCCACAGTGGGCCCGTGGGGCTCCTGGTGCATCCTAATAAAGTGTGAGCCGCAGCCCTGCGTCTACTGCTAGTCTGCCTTCCCTACCCCATCTTCCCTTCTGGCACCCAGGCCTGGAGCAGGGCAGCCTCTGGCATGAGGCTTAGGCAGAGCCCTGTGGCTGTGGGGTCACCTGGTGCACAGGCTTGGGGGAGCCGCCTGCAGAGGACTCTCCAGACTTCTGGTTTTAAGGAAATCATGACATTAGCTCTAAGAAGTGGTGATGAGGCCAGACACGGTAGCTCACACCTGTAATCCCTTTGGGAGGCCAAGGCGGGTGGATCACTTGAGGTCAGGAGTTTGAGACCGGCCTGGCCAACATGTTGAAACCCTGTCTCTACTAAAAATACAAAAATTAGCCAGGTTTGGTGGCAGGAGAATCGCTTGATTCTGGGAGACAGAGTGCAGTGAGTGGAGATCGCACCACTGCACTCCAGCCTGGATGACACAGGAAGACTCCATCTCAAAAGAAAAAAATAGTAATAAAAATATAAAAAAAGTGCCAAGCGCCCTCGGGGGGCGGGGGGGTGTCCCTGAACTGCCGGCCTGTGCTAGGTGGGCTTCCCTCTGCTTCACCCCCAACCCCAGGGTCTTCCTCCCCAAGTGGGGCTCTCCTGCCCAAAAACCCCCACCCCAGGGCCTCCTCCTGAGGCCGGGCTCCTTCCACATCACCCCCACCCTGGGGCCTCCTGTCGAGGTGGGGCTCCGCTTTTCCCCCGTCTATTTTGTTCCTAGAACTCTGCCCTTTAAGTGAGCTGGCAGCACAAAGCAGTTACCACAGGGCACAGAAAAAACATGCATCAAGGTGCCTGCCACAGGATTCTCACAGCCAGGGTGAGGGTTGTGTGGGGACACTGGCCACAGAGATGACAGTCAGTTCAGGTTGCGGCATCTGATCCCCAGACTACCCCACAATCTCAATTTCCAGCTAATTCCTGCCTCACCCTCTGCCCATCACCCTGGAGACAGAGCCCGCTCTAGGCGTCCTATCCTATGTGGCATCCCCACCCCTGCTTGCACCCAATGCTGATCTGGCAATGCCTAGCTCCAGGCCCACACCACCCTCCCAGACCTGCGTGTCCCCTGCCCTCACTCTGACGGAAGCCACAGGATCCCTGAGAACCAACTCAAATGTTAGCGTCAGCGCCTCTGGGGACACAAGGTCAGTGCCCCAAAGCCAGTGGCAGCTTTTGTTTTTTTTGGAGAAGGTTTTTGGAGTGTAGTTGATCACAGCTCACTGCAGCCTCAACCTCATCAAGCGATCCTCCCACCTCAGCCTCCTGAGTAGCTGTGAGTACAGGCCCATGCCACCACGTCTTGCTAACTTGTATTTTTAGGGGGTAGAGACGGGGTTTCACCATGTTGTCCAGCATTCCTCCCGCCACGGCTTTCCAAAGTACTGGGATTACAAGCATGAGCTACTGCACACACCACCTGTATCTCCTACACCCATGTCAAGCAGCAGCAAAGCGGTGGGAAGGGCTGCACCTGCAGTGTGGCGGCTCACAGGCCTCCCTGACATCCAGGCCTTTCTTAGGCGTGGGTGCCTCGGGCCGACCCAGGACCCCCTCCCCAGCTTCTGTCCTGTGGAGGAGACCCCACCATGCTTCTTACCACCGGCTGGAGATGTCCTGACCCCCTGCCCACCACACCCTGATGTTACTGACTCTGAACCAGAACCAGTGCCCACCCTGGCCTCACCATCCCTCACCCCATGGCATTCTCAGGCACGCCCAGGCCCATCCACTCCCTGGACTCACTTCTGTCCCCCCAAGAGACCCTGCCTGGGACGTGTACCCACCTCAGCCCTGTGGGTCCCAATGGTGAGGAGAGGAGTTCTCACGGCCAGCGAAGGACAGGATAGCGATGAGGGGCAGGGGAATGAAGGCCGCCAGGCCTTGGCTCATGCCTCCAGATTCCCCAGGGCCTCCCCAGAGCCTGGACACCGCTGCATTGCGGGGTGGGTGCAGACTGCCAGCCACGTGTCCTCTGCCCCACCCCTCACTGGAAATGCCCTTCCCGATGTGGCCCACGGGTCCTGCCGTTGCCCCTCACCATGCTCCCTGATGTGGCCAGGCTGGCCTGGGGGTCACGCTACCTGAGGCGGCAGAGCTGAGCCAAGGTCCAGGGCCAGTTTCAAGAGGGTGGGCCAGGTTCCTCTGTGCCCATTTCCAGGGCAGCCCCTGCACCCTTGCCGTGCTGGACTCGGTGGGGACGTCTGGGTGGCTCTCTGCAGATGTCACACATATGCTGTGGCTGGCGAGGTGGGTGGTGACGTGGGCGTGCAGCTCTCAGCTCTGTCACTGCCAAGCCCTGGGGTGATGCTGGGCAGAGCTGTCCCTGCCAGGGCCCTCAAGTCCGGGAGTGGGCGAGTCTGGGATGGTTCCAGAGCTTCCAAACCCACATCTGGCCCAGGATGTGAGAAGCAGCCCAGAAAGGCCTGAGCCAGGCTGTCCTGGTGGGGCAGGTACTGTGGGTCCTGCCTGCCCAGCCGACAGGAGGCAGCCAGCAGATGCCCAGGTGGGAGGGGCTTGAGCTCTCGGGTGCCCCCCAGCCAGGACTCATCTCAGGGCAGGGACCCCTCATGAGAGGGTGGGGAGTCACACGGTGCCCAGGACCCCCGACTGAGGACTGCAGCAGACCCGTCACAGCAAACGGAGTGGAGGCCTGTATTTCACACCTGCTCACTCACTCCATGGCTTAGAAAAGAACACGTCCGCCGCAGAGGCCGCAAAGCCTGCCTAGAGCAGGTCGTAGAAGTAGTCCAGGCCCTGGCCCAGCTCCCAAATGGAGACCCCAACGCCCAGCTCCCGGGCCAGCTCCAGCCGCACCTGCAGGGACTGAGCACAGATGGAGGTGTGAGTGCCTGCTGGGGCCTGTCCCCCAACACCTAGGAGTGTCCTCCAGGCCGAGGGGCAGCACTGCCTGGACCCCAGGGACCGCAGGCCAGTGCCTGCCATGCTGTCGCATGCCCCATCTCTCCCCCAGTCCCATGGCTGGCAGCACACGCACCTTCAGGGTTGGGTAGAAGACGACGTGCCTCCCACTGCGGCTCCTGCAAGACAAGGGGACTGTCGGCCCGTCCGCCGCCTCTGCTGGTTCCAGGCCTCCTCCCCTCACAGCCAAGGTCCACGGCCTGGACTCTTCCCACCCGCCAGGTGGCCACCTGCTGTCCAGCTGTGCTCCGGGGCCGGGAGCAGCAAGTCAGCTCGTGACCCTGGGACCCTCTGGCCCTGCTGCTCCCTCATCTCCACCCCCTGGGTCCTGGGATCCCCTGGGCCCTGCTGCTCCCTCGTCTCCACCCCCAGGGTTCTGGGACCCCCTGGGCCCTGCTGCTCCCTCGTCTCCACCCCCAGGGTCCCTCCCTGCACACAAGGCCGAGGCGGGCCATGCACTTCCCAACACTCACTTCTTGTACTCGAAGAAGTGCTCCGAGGCCTGGCTGTCCCACACCATCCGGGGCCTGTGGTCCTTCAGTGTCTGGATGTACCTGGGGAGACCAGGGTGTGGGTTTGGGAGCCCACCCAGCTCCCCCACCCTGTACCCCAAAGGCTGTGGCTATCAGCAGGGGCAGGGCCACTTGGGGCAGCAGGTAGAGGGAGCCACTGTCCCCAGTGGTTTGGGGGACGATGGCTGGTGGGGTGGCCAGAGCCTCGGGTCCTGTGAACCCTGTATTTGAGGAAGCACATCTTCCAGGAGCTTCCTCAGGAGAAGCCGCCCCAAGTCCTCTCAATGGCCTGGAGAGTGACACGAGGCCTGAAACTGCCTCACTCTGGGGATGGCCCTCAGGCTACACAGTGGCTGCTGTACGGGGCTCCTCACTCTGTCTAGACCCCAGGTGAGAGGCTAACCAGACAGGCCTCAGGCTGCCCTGGTCCCGCTGCTGGCCCTGGACTGATGCGCAGTGCCTCATACTGGGGATGGCTGCCTGGGGCAGTGGTTTCTGCACCCTTTTTTTTTTTTTTTTTTGAGACGGAGTCTCGCTTTGTCACCCAAGCTGGTGTACAGTGGTGCAATCTTGGTTCACTGCAACCTCTGCCTCCCAGGTTCAAGTGATTCTGCCTTAGCCTCCTGAGTAGCTGGGACTACAGGTGCGCACCACCACGCCCGACTAATTTTTGTATTTTTTAGTAGAGACGGGTTTCACCGTATTGGCCAGGCTGGTCTGGAACTCCTGACCTCGTGATCTGTCCGCCTTGGCCTCCCGAAGTGCTGGGATTACAGGCGTGAGCCACTGCGCCCGGCCTCTGCACCCTTTCAAAGGCTAAGTCTGTCTCAGTCTTGAACCACCACCACCCCAGGCCCAGGACTGCAGCAGGTCCCCCCTGAGCACCAAGAGCCAGTGGTTTGAGAACCACCCCCTCCTTCACAGAGGACAGGCTCATTCCCAAGGTGCTGGGGACACAACAGCGGTTTCCAGGTCACAGGGGACCTTGAGTGTAGGCACACCTCACACTGCACATTTGGGACCAGGGCAGGTGGTTCCAGAACACTATGGGCCACAGCCACCAGCAGCAGTGACAGATCGTTCTGGAAGCTTCTGGTCTCTGCAGACAGGAGTGTGTGCAGGTGGAGGCAGCTGACAACGGAACATGACCAGTGGCTGCTGCGTGAGAAAAGTGCCCCCCACATGCCTGGGGCTGCAGCCTCAGGGAGGAGGCCTGGAGTGGGGCCTACAGCCCGGACACCATGCGGGAGGGGAGGACAGGCAGTGGGCAGCTGCAGGGGCGCAAGGACCTGGGCTGTGTGGCATGGTGGACATCTGCAGGACCCTAAGGGGTCATGGCTGGACACTGCAGGGTTTATCCAAGTGAGAAATGGCAGCCACAGGACCGCACCTCGAGCCACCTTCCTGCTCCTGCCCAGGAGGAATGGGATGTCTGAGGATCCCAAGTGGGGGAGGCTGCTGTTGTCCTGAGTGGGGCAGAGTCCCCTTGACACTGGGAACCTCTTCCAGACTAGAGCAGCTGCCACCTGCCCAGCAGTGCTCGAGAAAGTGCCAGACCCCATCGGGT